ATTGTAGCCCAACCATCGTGCCACAACTGGCAAGTAGGCAGCGCTGCCCCTCCCCCCATCTTGGCATGCCCTTTGGGAGATGGCTCCTTGCTCTCACTCCAATACAGTGGGCACAGCATGAAAGGGCCTTACTACCACATGGGCAACCTTTCACCCTCATCCTTACCTGACTGGGTGTCCCCTAAAGTGGGAAGCTTTTAAGACAGGGCCTCTGGCTGGCCTGGAACTCACTGCAGACCATGCAGGCTTCAGACTCAGAGATTTGCTTGTCATCAACTCTCCAGAGCTGGGATTAAAAGTGTGTGCCACCATGCCTGGAGTTTGCAGTTTTTTTGTTTGTTTGTTTTGTTTTTTTTTAAGACAGAATCTTGTTAGATAATCCTGGCTGGCCTGGTATTGGAGGTAACGCCTCCTGCCTCAGCCTCCCAAGTACGAACTAACAAGTGTGGGTCACTGTGTCTAACTGGGGACCCCTACGTGTACACACACACACCCCGAGACACCGCAGTCACAGCAGTGCACAGAAGGTCATCATCTTTAGACAGGGAACAGACAGGGAACGAACAGGGCCGAGAACACGGCCTGGCCCAAGATCTCGATTTGTCAGGGCCAAGCCACAACAAACATAAAGGGGATACAAAGGAGGGGCAATCGTCAGATTTGGTCTTGAACTTGGAGGTGGGCGAGTGGTGATCCTGGGAAGGGGAACAGCAGGAAGGTGAGGACAGCCTGGACAGGGCTGGGAAGGCACTTGGCTCAGTCTCCTGTCCCTCGCCTTTCAGCGACCCAGAGGCTGCTCCTGGTTGAGCCTCTGGAAGAAGCTTTTGCCAAACTCGTAAGTGCTGATCATGATGGCACACGAAGGCGCAGCCTTGATGATCCTTGGGAGGAAGCCTGAGATGGGAAGACAGACCATGTGGAGGGGTCCAGGTCCCCTCACACACACAACACGGACGGACAGACTGCGTGTGCGTGGACAGACACCCACCTGCAAAGAGTCCCCTGGTGCCAGATTCGGCCTGGATTCTCCGAAGCAGGAGCCAGGTGGAGTCAACTCTTGGGGGCTTCACTGCAGATTCAAGGCCCGGCTCAGTAGGCCCCAGTTTGCACCCCTGCCTGCCCTCCACCTTCACTAGCCCCCTCTCACCTCTCATAGCCTCCAAGGCTCCCAGTGCCATCTGTCGCTGTGTCTTCACCACATCAAAGGGTAGAGTGAGGGTGGCAGCCACCTGGTCGGGTGAGGAGAGGGCCCAGCTCCATTCCCAGACCCAAATCTCAAGGGTGGCCGAGGAAGGCAAGCAAGCTCCCGGACAGGCACTGGGAGGTGGGGACCTGCTGGGCATCTCTCCTGACCCTCACTCGGGGTGCTGCAGGACACCTCTGGTGGCCTCACCCCCCAACACAGTCAACTCACCATTCCTGAGATGCCACCGGCCACAAAGCTGACCCCCACAGATGCCTGGTCTTTTGGTCTTAGCCCATTCAGCCAGCTCCTCACCAGCTCGTAGTTGAACCAGTACAGAGCTTGGGAAATAAGAGGCGCTCAGTAAGTGAGGGAGCCAGGCTCCAGACTCCTCGTCTCCCATAGCCACCCCAGGTGCAGGTTCGCCCGCTCCGTACCAGGTCCTCTTCAGGACTTACTTCAGGAAAACCTAGGCAAACCCCGTCCCTGCTGGGCCCGCTCTTACACAATGAGGAAACCCAAGGCTCAGAGAAGTGATGTGATTTTGCAGCCATCAGTGACGAAGGAGGGGCCCCCTTGAACGTTATCCAAGAGCCCGCTGGGAGGAAGGGAGTTATGCCCTCCGACCCGAACCTGAGTGCCTACCTGAGAAGGGCACGTCTCGGAGGGCTGTGGGACCCCAGCCCAGCCACAGTGAGCGCCAGCCTCCCTGAGCCACCGCAGCCTGAACGCAGGTAGCTAGTTCCCGGTATGACACGTGCTGAGCCTGCAGCTTGGTCCGTACAAGCTCCAAGGGGCTGATCACTGTCACGGTGCCCACTGGGGAGGAGAGGGTTGGTTCCATAGGGAAAGGAGGTCAGGATAGAGATGCTATGCATTCAAATACCAGCTCTTGCCTCGGGATCTGAGGGTTTGGCATATTCCCTGGGACTGGGACCCAGGGGGGGAAAGGGGGATGACACAGAGGGTACTCACTGCGGGCGAGGGCACCAGCCACCATGGGTGCATAGAGGTCAGAGGTCAACGACTGACCACACAGGAAGGCCTTGAGTTGGTCATAGGCTGTGAAGTAGATGGCGGTAGCTGGTACAGTCATCACCCTGGGATATGAAAAGAGGCCAGAAAAAAATCACTTAAGGGCTCCCAAACCTTTCAAGCAACCCCTTTCCCACCCTGCCAATGGGGGTCATGAGAAGAAAGCATCCCAAGGCTGGGGTACTCACAGGGTGGCTGGGAGGCCGCTCCACAGGGTCCTGGTGCCCTCATGTCTCACAATCTTCACAAAGGCGTCCTGACCAAGACAGACATGAACAAGGTCTGTGATGGACTGGCTCGGGCACAGCCTGGCTTGACGCCCTCAGCCTCTGCCCACAGCCCTGAGAAGAGCCGGTTAGCTCAAAACATGCCAGCTCCCCATTAAAGGCTCCTCGTCACCCTTTAAAATCTTAAGGAGGTAACTGGGCATTAGTGGCACATCCTTTAGTCCCAGTGCTTGGGAGGCAGGGGCAGGTGGATCTCCGTGAGCTCGAGGCCAGCCTGGTCTACAAGGTGAGTCCAGGACAAGAAGGACTATTACACAGAGAAATGCTGTCTCTCCCCACTGGACAATCCCCCCCAAAAAAAAAAAAAAAACAAAAACAAAAACCTTATGGAGGACTAGGATGCAATTCATTAGTAGAATACTCTACTAGCATGTATTATGGTATTAGGTCTTGGTGTTTATTCTCAGCATCATGACCAAAAAACCTTCTGAAAGAACGGCCTCCCAGGCAAGCCCCTCCTACGCTGCACAGCCATCCACCTGCTTTGCCTGCAGCTAGCCAACTTGAGTCCCTCGGGTACACATTACTGCTGCTCCTTACCAAGGTACCAGTGAATCGTGTAGGATCCTGAAACCAGGAGGCACAGCGAGTACCATTTGGGCACAGGTACAGGGGCTCCAGGACACCATTGCAGTAAAGGAGGCACTTCCCTGGGGCTTGGAGAGTGGAGGGTGCTGGGGAAAGGGAATGGACTTTAGGATGGGAGGGCCTGGAACCTTGCTGGGTGACATAGCTGGGCCGATATGTGGATATTCCTGTATCGGACAAAAGGCTGGCTAGTGTGGCCTAGAATGATGTACTATGACCATGGGTACCCCAGGAACTCTAGGGGCACTGGAACACTTCCCTGGGCCCTCCCAGGAGCCTGGGGCTAGGGGCACTCACATTTGGTGTAGGAGAGACTCCAGAATCTGGAGAGAGGTGTCAATTCTGAAACACAAGTCAGCCCTGGTGGTCAGGAATGCCCCCTACCCCCAATCCCATCTCTGGGAGATCCTTATTTACTTATTATTATTTTCTGAGACAGAGTTTCTCTGTGTAGCCTTGGCTGGTCTGGAATCCCTTTGCAGACCAGGCTGGCCTTGAACCCACAGAGATCCGCCTGCCTCTGCTTCCCAGAGTGCGGGGATCACAGGCATTCGGGGATCACAGGCTTGCGCCACAGTGCCTGGCTGGGAGATCCTTAGTTTGGTAGGCACCTCCCCTCCACCTGGCTCCTGAGGCAGGTACTTACCCCCTGCTACTGAGGGCCTCTGAGACTGAAGTCGGACCTTCACCACATCCAGCGGTGTCACTGGGGAAGGAGGAAGGTGGTTTCCCTCAGGACCTCACTCGCTCTGTTCTTCACCAGAACCAAATCGCCTCCAACCTCTAACCCATATCCACCCCCAACTCCCCAGGTCTTACTGAAAAGGGAGGTGACCACAGCCCCAGCTCCCGAGGCCACCATTTGCTGAAGGGGGCTAATGCCCCCAGGATCCTGATTATCCATCTTGAAGTTTCAATCCTGAAAACAAACCACAGTCAAATGGAGCTCACTCCCTGACAAGAAAGGCCTGGGCAGCAACAAGCATGAGGTGAGGCGCTCTGGGACTTCAAGAGCGCACTCAGCTCACCCACAGCTTGCCTCCGTAACCTTTCGAGATCTGTAAACGTGTTCACTTTGCCAAGAGGGAAACCAAGGCTCAAGAGATGCAGTGACCTTCAAGGTTACGTCATTCGCTTGGAAAGAAGCGATTTCCTCAGCCACATGCTTACTATGTACCTCTGGACTTGAGAGACCAAAAGATCGAAACACCTGAGCCTTGCCCCACCAACCAACATCTGGGCGGGCACACGAGCGACCTGGGCGAGGAGAGGTGGAGTGGGGCATCGAGAGAAACGTGTAAACAAATCTGGTGATCGAGAGGAAGGTTCACCTTCCTTCCCGAGATTGCTGGCCCTCCCCCACCGTCAGCCCGGCCCCGCCATGAGGCCTGAACGGAAGGACACACTCTGCCTCCTCTCTCTCTTCAATACAAGCCGCGGGCTCAACCGAGGCGGAAGCAGAGACGCGGTAAGAAACCCACTCGGCCGCACTCCATGCCCAGGCCCAGCAAAGGGGCGTCCGGCGAGGCCCATCCCTTCCCCCAGCCTCGACTCGTCCCCAAGCCGGGGACCCTCGGAGAACCCACTCCAGTCTCGACCCACGAACCTGGCTCTGAGCCGGTGCTTGAGGCGCGCCACGCCAGGGGCCGGGCGGGCCCATAGCGGCTCCGCGGCCGGTGCTGGGTCCGCGCGCGCCCGCTCCGCACAGCGGCCGCCGGGAAGAGCGGTGGAGCAGGCCCCGCCCCCGGCAGAGCCGAGCCCCGCCCCGCGGCCGAGTGGCCACGCGCGCGGAGTGCAACGGGGCCCGCCCACCCGCGTCCCTCCCCCTCCCCGTCCACCCGCGCGGGCGGGGCCGCGGGGCCCCCCCCCGGGGCCCCCGCGCTCTTCGCGGCCCCGGGGTCAAGGTCGCCGGCTGCACGGCGGCTGCGCGGGGCTGCGGGAGCCTGCACCCCGCGCTGCGCTACCCCGACCGCGTGGGTTACTGCCGCCCCGCGCCCCTGAGGAAAGGCGGCGGCCGCGGGGGTTCGGCTCTGAAGGTCACAGAGTGCCGAGGCGGCGATGGCAAGCATCCACCCGCCGAGCGCCGGCGCCGGTGGCGGGAGTTTACCGTTTCCGGCGAGCGTGCCGACGGGCGTGAGCGTCCGCCTCGTCCGCGGCTGCCGGGACGAGCTTGCAACTCCCAGGGCTGCCGTGCAAGCCGACCCGGGCCAGCCGCGGGCCTCTGGGCAAGGTTTGCAAATTTGCAGGACCGCAGGCTGCGGGGACACCCAGTGTGCATAGAGCGGGGAAGAGGGCGAGTGTTTCGTGATGGGTCCGAGGCCTTTAGGGCTTTTTAGAGCTCGAAGCTTTATTTATTTTTATTGTTTATCATTATTACTTTTTAAAGACGATCTAGGTAACCTTGGCCGGCCCGCAGCTCCCAAGGTAGAACGGGCTCTGTCGAAACTTGTCCTTTGTAGGTCGCTACCGACCTAGGCGCCCCACTTTACAGAGAGCGACGGACCCGAGACTCGAACCTGCGCCCCTACCCTTCCAGGTGCTGGGTGGGCTCGCGCGCACCCGCTCGGCACCCGTCGCCCCGCCGTCCGCCTCGCCTCCGAGGACTTCGGCGTGAGCCCCGGGCGGAGCCTACGCCTTTAAGAAGGATGGGCCGCGGCCTCCACGTCGCCGCCTTCTCCGCCCCTCGAGCCCCAACTGGTTGCGGACCGCGCTGGGGCCGCCCAACCAGCCCGGCCAGCACGTGGATGCCGACGGGCCGACCGTGCTCTTCCCTGGGAAAACCCGGTCGGTCGAGCGGTAGCTCGGGACTCCGGGGGGGGGAGGGCGGAGGGAGGAGGGAAGCAGCCAATGAGCGAGACGCTGAGGGCGGGAGCTGCGTCCCGGGTTCGGGGTCCGGAAAAGCCTGGGGTACGCAGTGGGCCCTCCCCCGTCCTCCCCGTTCCCCTCTCGCTCCGGACCTTGTTTAAAAGTGGCCCAAAAGTCGTCAGTTAAGTTGGGGACGCCGCCCCCGCTGAAGACCCTTTCAAAGTTAATGCTTTACCAAGTTTCAGACCGGAGAGGTTTTTTTTTTTTTTTTTCCTAGTCTGCAGAGGAGAAAACTGAAGGCCTTATGGGTGATCTTTCTCTCTCTCTCTTTCCCTCTCCCTCTCCCTTTCTTATTGATGATTTGGAGTTTTGATTTGTTTTCTGTTTGTTTTGACACAGGGTCTCAAGTAGCCCAGGCTAACCCTAAGCTCTATGTTGAAGGAAGGATGATCTTGAACTCCTGATCCCGCTGCCTCCCAAGTTTACAGGCATGAAGGATCCACATTAGTTCTTTGTCCACCCCTTGTCCCAACTTCCGGTCGCTCAAAAGAACCTGCCCTCCCTGAGGTCGGCCTGCCCCAGCAACACCCCTCACGTGACTCAAGTTTACTGGCTTGCAACGTCCAAGGCAAGTCTGCAGCCTGGAGAGGTTGTGCGAGAGCGAGCGCTCAGGCGTGAGATTCTCGCCCAGGCGGTTGGCAAGGCGGTACGAGAACCTTGACCGACCTTAGAAACGCCCAAGCCCTGGCTAGAGCTGCAAGCCGGGAGGCCAGAGGAGGTGGTGGCTACTGGCCCGGCTCACCGAGTGAGCCACACTGAGTCCAGTCGGCCCTGGAGGCAGCATGTAGCCATCATACAGACGAAAAGGCCCAAGCCACCCCTTTGCACCGGAGAGGGCTGGGAATGGCAGCAGCAGATGGTGGTGAAAACTGGTGTCAATCCTGCCCGGCGGCTAGGAGCTACTTAGGAGGCTGAGTTTAGCTGGCAGGCCCTGGGGCAGGCAGGAGCCGGGAACCCTTCAGTTTGCATCCCTAAAGCCTGTGGAAACATTTATAGGTGGAGGCAGAACTTTGAACCCAAAGCCAGGACCCCACCAGCACCTCTCTGTCCAAGGGCAAAATTGTCACCATCTGGTGGAACCTTCCAGAGGCGAAGTGCTGGACTTCTGTCCAGCCACTGACTTCTGTCCCACTCTCCTGAGAGAAATCCAAATTCCAGGCCCAGGGAGGACCAGGGCACCTAACGGAAGGAAGGGGTGGCAAAGTCACAGGGAAATGGAGAAAAGTGGGCCAGGTCATGCCCTGTGATGATGTGGGAACAGCAGCCTCAATTATTTATTTATTTATTTGTCTATTTATTCTGTGGTGTTTTTTTTTTTTTTTTGTTTTTTTGTTTTTTTTTTTGAGACAGGTTCTCACTATGTAGCTCTGGCTATCCTAGAATCCACTAAATACACCAGGCTGGCCTCAAACTCACAGAGATCCGTCCATCTCTGTCTCCCAAGTGCTGGAGTTACAGGGTGGGCCAGCAGCTTTGATTTTAAGTAATACACTATGCGTTCTTTAGTTAGTAAAGGAAACCCTAAGTCTCAAATGAGATGGGGGGATGGGGAAGAGCGAGCAAGCAGACCAGAGACAATGCAGCGACTGATGGTCCGGGTGATTGGTGTATTGACGCTCGTCACCTCGTTCTTTTTGCTTGTTTGCTTTTTTGAGACAGGGTTTCTCTGTGTAGCCCTGGGTCATTCTGGACTCTGTAGACCAGGCTGACCTCGGAACTCAAAAGTTATGCCTGCCTCTGCCTGCTTGCACCACCATGGCCTGGCTCATTGCCTCGTTCTTAACAACCTCTCTGAAGTTCTTAGAAGGTATCTAGAATCAGAACTAGTTAGTAGACAGCTGCTTTTGTTTATTTTTATTTTATTTTGAGAGAGAGAAAGGATCTATGTAGACCAGGCTAGCCTAGAAGTCACTATGCAGACCGGGCTGGCCTTGAACTTTCCGAGATCTATCTGCCTCCTGAGTGCTGAAATTAAAGGCGTGCTCCACCATGCTCAGCCTCCAAGGATGGTTTAGTTTTGAAATTTAAGGCAAATTTCATCTAAGGCTGAAGCTCAGTGTGGGAGCACAAGACCCTGGGTTCAATCCTCAGCACCAGCAAACAAACAAACAAACAAACAAACAAACAGTGTAATTACCCATCTCAGACCCACTGCCAACATGCTTTCCTGTTGGTGGCCTGATGAGGTGTGTGTGGCTGAGTCCTCAGTACTTCATTTGAGACACCCTACCCTGAATGCGTCCTGCAGAGGCATGTCTCCCAGAAGCCCTTCCGGAACCGGCCTCCATTCTGGCTTCCAGAGAGCCGACTGCTGGAGCGTGGATTTAGGAGTGTCTGTTTGCGTGAGTCACTTTAGGGACTCATAGTAACTCTCAACGTTCTAAAAGTCTAAACCCTGACTCAGCCAAGCCACTTGGTTCCCCCTAGCCAACCGATTTCACAAGGACAAAATGGTAGACAGGCTGTCCTCGGTCGGAGCCTTGTTTGCAGCAGCGGGAACTGACATGACGGAAATGCTAAGTCCACGACAGGCCTGTGATCCACCTCACACGCCCTGAAAGAGAGTCAGAGATCTGCATCCTGACGTAAAACAATATCAAAGGCAAAACGTTCGGGTTGGGAACATGGCTCAGTGGTAGGGAGCTTGCTTGTCCAGCACCTGCCAGGTCCCAGGTTCCATCCCCGGCATCGGAAACCTGAAAGTCCGTCAAGCAGGATACTGGACACTTGCACTTAGCAGGAACGCCACTGCCCCCTAGGGGACATTTTTTAAATATACGAGGCCAGTTCCGCTGTGGATCGGCAAAAGTAATCGGAGTTTTGAAATGTCGTGTAGTGAGTAGAACATTCTGATACAACATGAAATTTCAACAACAACACAAGGAAAAAGAAAACTCCACATCTCTGTTTTCCTAGGCAATCACATGCATGAGTAAGTTGTTCATGGTTATCAGAAGTAGGTAACAACTTCATCCCAACTTTTTGTGTATGTATGTCTGTGTGTGCAGGTGTTGTGTGTGTGGAGGTCAGGGGTCAACCGAGGATGTCACTCCCCAAGCACTGTCTACTTTATTTTTGAGACAGGTCATCTTACTAATCTGGAGCTTGTCAGAGTAGTCTAGGCTAACAAACCAGTGATCCCCGCCCCCTCCTCCCCAGGGCTCTGCCTGTCACTATCTCTCCAGTCCCAGCTTTATCCATCCTTTTGCTGGTGGTCAAACGCAGGTGCCCAGGCTTGCAGAGCTTGCACTTTATGCTGGTTTCTAAGTGCTGGCCTTGAACGCTGGATCCTTCTCCCCCCCCCCCCTTGCCTGAGTTCTGGGATTGTAGGCTCCTGCTATACAGTTCACCCATGCGTGTTTAAAGGAAAGGTAGAGAGCAGTCTCCCAAAGCAGGCGCTGGACGCTGGAATGCATTGGGCAGGCCCCTCCCTGTCCCACACAGTGCCCGCTGCCTCTGGGAACTTCAAGTTCCAGTTCAGTGTGGTGTTCACTGGGCTGAGACCCTATCAAGAATTTAGCAGTTCCTTTTCCAAGCACATTCTTGAATAAGGCCGGAGGTGGGGGGAGAGGGGGCCAAGAAACAAAACACTAACTGAACCTCATCACAAAGGTTTGTGTTAAAGATCTGGGGAGAGTTTACCAGGAAGGCTATTGTGATGAAAATCACAGTAAGTGTTCGCAGGACATGTTTGCTGTTCTGGTTGGACTGGCTCTGAGGTTTGTTTTGATTTGTAATTTTTTTGAGATAAGGGCTCAAATAAAACAGCCCAGGCTAGCCAGGTGGTGGTGGCGGCACACACCTCTGATCCCAGCACTCTGGGAGGCAGAGGCAGGCAGATCTCTGTGAGTTCGAGGCCAGCCTGGTCTACAAAGTGAGTGCAGGACAGCCAAGGCTACACAGAGAAACCCTGCCTCAAATAACCAAAAAAAAAAAAAAAAAAAAAAAAACCAGGCCAGGCTGGCCTTACTCTACTCCCTGAGTAACTTGAACTCCTGGTCTTCCTGCCTCTACCTCCCAATCGTTGGGGCTACAGGTATCCACCACCACTGCCGGTTTATGGGGTTCTGGGGATGGAACCCAGGTCTCCTACATGCCAGTCAAGTACTCCCTAACGGAGCTACAGCCTTAGCCTGCTTGTCTGCTTGTAGAGACAGTCTTGCTCTGTAGCCCACTTAGCCTTGAACCTAATATCCTCCTGCCTCTGCCTCCCCAGTGCTGAGTCACCCCATATGGCTAAGGCCTCGCTTTTTACAAACACTGAAATAGGGTGAGCCGAGCTGGCAGCCTTCCCGACAGGTGGCAGAAAGCCTGATGCACGGAGGACAGCTTTCTCCTCTAATTGGTTGGCCTGTCTCCTCCCCAGGCTTCACAGGAGCTTGATCTTTGACCTCTTCTCCCTCTCCCCAATAGACTGAACCCAGACCTGTGTCAGGCAGATGCTCCCCACCCCAGCTATAGAACCCCAGTTTCTTCAATAGATGAAAACATTGATACTCCTGAGTCTTGCTTCCTTCTCAGGGATGCGGGGGTCTCAGTGGAGAAAGGTGGCTTGTGACCTGGAAAGCTCTTGGTCGCATCCCTGCAGTTTTCATTCCTCATCTCTGTCTGGGCTCCTGAGGATGACGCTGAGGTCTGGGAAGGGTAGCCTCCATGCCTGGGCACCAGCCCATTGCTTCAGAGACAGAGCATCAGGTTAATCATAAGAACCCTTTGATGTCCTAAAACCAAAAAGGTCCCTCTGCTTTTAGTGCGCTGTTTTACAGGATTTCTTCACATCCATTATCCCATTTGAACGTCACATGACTGCGTGGAGAGTATGCCAAGGCTGTGTGGGCCCATTCCAGGAAGGAGGAACCTGAGTTCCTGGCGAATTAGGTGGTGTTGTGTAACAATTTCCTCTGAGTTGAAACTTTCTGGAGGTTCCCTAAGACTCTAAGTAAGGCTCCTTAAACCTCAGGCCCCTGAAACTTACCAGATTCACAAAGCTCCTCCCTCCCTGAGGATTAAATAAGCAGTAAAGGCTGCTGAAAGGAGAGAAGGGGAAGGGGGTGTGGAACAGAGAGAGGGGTTGGAAGGGGAGGGGAGGAAGCGATTCTGAGCTGTCAAATTGCCTTTAGGCTGTACAGAGAGGTCCACAGTTCCAGCTTTTGTGAGTCATCACCCATGCTGGGGCAAGCTTTTTCGTGCTGCAGCTTCAACATCAGGATTCCTGTCAGTAACTCCTACAAACTCCTTGGTTTACCAAGTCGTGCTTTAGTGGTGTTAAGTTGACCTGTCATGAGTTTCCTATTCAGGGGGAGTAGATGTTTCTTTCTTTTTAATTAATTAAGTAAGTAATGTACATTGGTGTTTTGCCTCTGTGTGTGAGAGAGTCAAATCCCCTGGAGCCAGAGTTACAGAGAGTAGTGAGCTGCCATATGGGTGCCAGGAATTGAACCCAGGTCCTCTAGAAGAGCAGTCAGTACTTTAAACCTCTGAGCCATCTCTCCAGCCTGAGTCGATGTTTCTTTATGTCTCTCCAGGAACAGTGTCCCACAATACAAATGATGCTGCACAGTTTGGCAGGCCCAAAGATGAGTTGGAGGGAGGGGGTGGTTAGATGGCCCCTGCACTGGGTACCAAGACATGGACCACCCCCCCGGGGGAAATCTTGCGTGGTCTGGGACGGAGTCCCTCCTTGCTGTATTGGTGGTTGTGGAGAGCCGTGGGATGCAGCTACAGACAAAGCCAGCCTGAGAGACAGTCCCGGATGCTCCAGGTAACTCGGAAGCCTCCAGCATCTGGATGGAAATGGCCTCTTGCTAAAGCAGCACATCTGTGGCCAAGCTTGAGGAGCTGAGTTGGATCACCAGGACTCGCACTGTGGCGTGGGCAGTTGCTTTTTAAGCTGCTTTGTTATGTTTTCACCTGGAGAAGTAGTTTTTGAAAAAAGGTTAGATGGTTCCACACCTTTTTCTGTTTGTATTGATGTGACTTGCCTATAAATAATGAACCCTGGAATAAACCTGGGCTGCTTCAGTCAGACTGACAGCCCTCTCAAGCCAATCCCATGTGAAGTATGATTTGTCCTCACTTCCCCAGTACTCAGGTACTCAGGTACTGTTGGACTCTGCTGGCAGGTCTGGCACTTTGGCGCCCAAACAGGGACCTGGGATACGGGGGAAGCAGTGAAGGACAGCGCAGTGTTGATGAGCCCGGATCATAAAGAGATGTGGTGAGAAAAATTGAGAGTGAAAATGGGACAAGGAAGTAGTGTCATGTTTTTTTGCATGGTCTTTACTTAGAGACATTCTGTTTCTATGGTTCGAGACAAAGAAAGTGAAACTTTCAGGGTCAGAGAGAAAGAGGAAAAACAAACAGGAGGCTTCGAGACAAAATAAGATTAAACCATCGGCTCCTCCTGAAGAGTTCTATGTCTCTTCTGACGATAATTCTTTGTTAGAAGAAGACTCTAAGGATGACTTAGATCCTGATGAGGTTGCAGAGCTGGAGGATTCTGAGAGATATCCTCCGATTCAGGCTATGAGTGTTAAAAAACTTGAGCCTTGGCAAAAGGAAGTTAAGAAATTGGAATGATGCTTGGAGGAAATAAACAGGAAAATTGAATTAAGGATTGGGGAAAATGAGGCTCAATCCCCCACTCTAACTCCTTCATTGATGACAGGCTTGGATCCTCCTCCTGGGATGGTTACAGTTGCTATAGCTCAAAACACAAGTGGGCCTTTTCCTTTGTTCACTGCTCGAGCAACTGTATCCCTGTCACAAGCTTCTTTACAACAAGCTGTGCAGAAAGGAGAAGATATAACTGAGTTTTATGGTTTTCCAGTTTTAGAACAACCTGACAGGGTAATAATAGGGTGAGAGTCCATGCTCCTATTCCTTTTAAACAATTAAAAGAATTAAAAACTGCATGCTCTCAATATGGTCCTACAGCACCTTTTACTCAAGCTCTGTGAGAATCCTTGTCCACTGAGGCCCTCTGCCCAGGAGACTGGAAGCAGTTAACAAGAACATACTTATCAGAAGGAGATTATTTAATATGGAAATCAGATTTTGCAGAGCACTGTCAAGTTACAGCTGAACTCAATCAAGCTCAAGGAGTTCCTATAATTTATGACATGCTTGCTGGGGAAGGAACCTATAGGGAAAGAGGAAAGCAGTTGGATTTTGATGTGGCAGTTTATGCTCAAGTGAATGCTGCTGCCTGAAAGGCCTGGAATAAACAGGTAGACAGGTGGAGCATTTGTCTAAAATCTGTCAGGGACCTGATGAGTTACTTCAAGATTTTGTGGCAAGATTAATGCAAGCAGCAAGCAGACTTATAGGCGATGAAAATTCTGGATTATTATTGGTAAAACAATTGGCTTATGAGAATGCTAACAGTGCCTGCCAAGCAGCTTTGATACCCTTTAGGAAGAAAGGAGATATTTCTGACTATATTAGGTTATGTTCTGACATTGGGCCGTCTTATATTCAGGAGTAGCTATGGCTGCCACCCTGCCAGGGAAGACTATTAAAGAGGCATTATTTCAGCAACAGAAAGGCCCAAAGAATGGAGTATCTGGAAGTTGTTATGGCTGTGGGCAAGTGGGACATCAAAGAAAAAAATTGTCCTAATAATGATAGTAAGAAAGGAGGAAATCAAAAGAAACCTGGTCTATGCCCAAGATGTAAAGCAGGAAAACATTGGGTTAATGAATGTAGGTCTAAAAGAGATGCTGCAGGAACCCTTTAATGCGGGGAAACAGGAGGAGAGTCCAGCCCCGGGCCCCCGCACGATATTATGGGGCGCTACAGAACTTTGTCCCTCAGCCAAAAAATCCATTCAGGACCTCGATAGAGCAACAAAAGGTAGCACAGGACTGGATCTCCGTTCCTCCACCTACACAGTATTAACTCCTGAAATGGGGATGCAGGCCCTGCCTACAGGAGTTTATGGCCCATTACCTAGAGGGACTGTAGGATTATTACTAGGAAGAAGTAATACTACAATGCAGGAAATTTTAGTAGCTCCTGGGGTAATTGATGCTGATTTTGAAGGGGAGATAAAAATTATGACACGTTCTCCAAATGGAATTTCTGTAATAAAGCAAGGTCAAAGATTAGCTCAATTAATATTGCTCCCCCAAGTTCAGACAAAAAAATGCAAGTAAGAAGGATAGGAGAGGAGATGCAGGTTTTGGATCCTCTGATACTTACTGGATACAAGCTATCGGTCCCAATTGACCTGAACTGGTGTTACAAATTAATGGAAGAAAATTTATAGGGTTAGTGGATACAGGAGCTGATGTCTCTGTTTTAACTGCTGATCAGTGGCCTACGCATTGACCTAAACAATCCTCTATAACACAGTTATGAGGAATAGGACAAAGCCAATGTCCTAAACGAAGTAGTGAGGAGTTAACTTGGAAGGATGAAGAAGGACACAAGAGAACTTTTAAACCATATATTGTTCCTGGCCTTCCTGTTCATCTGTGGGGTAGAGATGTGATGAATAGCAGGGGAGTGCAGCTTTACAGTCCTGGTAATGTAGTTACCAACCAGATGCTTAATCAAGGATATTTCCAAAGATGACAATGCCCAAGTGAAATGGAAAGATCCGATTACTGGAATATAGCAGGGCCTTGACCCTGTATTAATATGGGGAAGAGGGCATGTCTGTGTTTTCCCGCAGGACGCAGAAGGAGCCAGATGGATCCCAGAAAGTCTGGTGCAATTTGCAGGAAATGCTCCCCGGAAGGAGGATGTTGCTGCTGCGGAAAGTCCTGATGGTGAAAGGATGGTGACCTTAGCTCCTGATTCACCTTTGTTTCATTCTACTCAAGGGAGAAGAAATTGTGCAGATAAACTTTTTAGATACAATGTGACTGGACTTGATTTGTCTGATAATTAGGACAATTCTCAACAAAATTGGGAAGAATGAGAAAGAGGACTATGGGACTTTGGTCTGATTCTGGTTTTCAGCAGACCAACACAAGCTTGCTTCAGAATGCCTATGTATGTTTCCCTTACTTTGTTGTTTGTAATGCTAACATTTTTATACAAGTACCAAACTTTAATGTTTCTTGCCATTAATGTAAACCAACAAACTGTATTTCTAAGCTTTCAAATGGACAGCAAGTTCTGGTTGTTAGATAGCCTTCTCTTATGGTTCCTGTGCATGTTTCTCAGGCTTGATATTCTGATAAGGGATTATGAATGCTAGAAACAGACCGAAAAGAAGGGTTGGATTAATTATTGCAGGTATTATGGTCCTCGTGGTCATCTTTTATAGGACTCAGCTCATTACTCATGTTAGGACTGTCTCCTACAAGGGATAATTAAAACCTTCATCAAGGCCTTCTGGAATGTTAAAGCTGATCTGCATAAGATTAAACTCCAGTGTCTACCCTAGTGGAGGCTGGTAGTCAGAGAGGGGAAGATTTCTCTGAGGTATATTCAACCTAAGACAGGCATCAATGATGGAATTCATGTACCAATGATGGGTAAGAATACATCTTTCAAGAGAGACAACCTAAGACAGGCACAATCTTCTGCTCCATAGCGCTTAAGCTATGGTCTTTTAAAGTAAAAAAAAAAAAAAAAAGGGAGACCTGTGGAGAGCCATGGGACGCAGCTACAGACAAAGCCAGCCTGAGAGACAGTCCCGGATGCTCCAGGTAACTCGGAAGCCTCCGGCACCTGGATGCAAATGGCCGCTTGCTAAAGCAATACACCTGTGGCCAAGTTTTTGAAAGAAGATTAGGTGGTTCTGCACCTTTTTCTATTTGTATTGATGTGACTTGCCTATAAATAGTGAACCCTGGAATAAACCCGGGCTGCTTCAGTCAGACTGACAGTCCTCTCAAGCCTATCCCATTGTGAAGTATGATTTATCCTCACTCCCCACTCAGGTACTGTTCGATTCTGCTGGCAGGCTCCGGCAGGTGGTCACACAGACCCTGTGATGGATGATAGGACATGCAATTAATACCTCATTGTGGGGATCAGGAACCGGGTAACTGAGAGGCGATGGAGCCCACGCAAAATCGGGGGAATCAGACTCGGGGGACCAGACTCGAGGTGCAGATCTGACTTTATTGTGTATAAGCCTTTTTATGATTGAAGGGCCCATCAGACCACCCCATGCTAGCCTCAAGCACCAGTAACCATCAATCAGGTTGGTGTAACTATAAGGAGATGAGGTGGGGGGCAAGGTCACCGCAGGAGACTTCCGTAAAGAAGGGGGGAGCAGTCACCACCCTAGTCTCAGATCTACTTTGAGACTTTGCTAGCATGCTGGAGGTCCCCAGTGGCTCAGCACTGTGTGCAATGGATCGGGATCTTACGAGGAGTCGTCAGAGGCGAGCACACCTCCCTCGCCATTTCCTATCGGCCTCCAAAGGGTTATGTCGACATGTCAAGAGCTAAGAATGAAATGTCTATGAAGGGAATCCAAGGATGGCCATCATCCTCTGCTTGATGTGGGGGTGTCAAAGGAGCAAGAGGAGAATCCAGAGTTCAAGGCTAGCCTCTCTCTCAAAAACAAAACAACCTTCATTCAAGAAATTCATAGGTCCTGTGGTCTTCCTACACATAAAGCTTAGAAACCTGCATAGAGTTCAAGCTGTAATGTAAAGGAAAAAGATAAATCTCCCTGTTCTTAGGGTCCAGAGTGGTTTTATTCCTGAAAAATTCAACAAATAGCAAATATTTTTATTATAATTAAAACATTAGTTTTATTGATGTGTACGAGTGTTTTGCCTGCGCATCATGGATGTGCATTGTGGATGGAGACCAGAAGAAGATGTCCGATCCCCTGGGACTGGAGTTATAGATGTAAGCTGCCAAGTGGATGCTGAGACTCGAACCCTGGTCCTCTGGAGGAGCAGGGTACAGGGATGTCCTTGAAATAGCTGGTGGAGTAAAGAGTGTATTACAGGGGGAGGGAGGGAGCTACAGGGTAGATACGAAGTGAATAAACTGTAATTGATAAAAATAAAAATTAAAAAATTAAAAAAAGGTATTACAGTTGCTGAAAGCAACACAACATGAGGTGACGTCGA